GGATGCCAAGATAATTGAGTGGGAAAACAGTATTATCAGGAAATGTTGCTGGGACAATTGGATATCCACATACAAAAGAATGAATTTCAACTCTGACATCATACTGTAGACAAAAATTAGCAAAAATGAATCAAAATCCCAGGGTAAGAGCTAAAACTATAAAACTCCTGTAAGAGAGCACAGGAATAAATTATTGTGACTTTGGATCAGGCAATACATTCTCTAATATATTAAAAGCCATTTTTAAAAAACGACATGTAATACATGTTGAGAAAGATGTGGAGAAAATGGTGGGAATGCAAAATGGTACAGCTGTTACACAAAACAGTTTGGCTTTTCCTCAAAAAGTTAAACATGATCAAGTGATTTCACTCCTGGGTACATACCAAAGAGAAATGAAAATATGTGTTTACAGAAACTTGTACATACATGTACAAAGCAGCATTATTTATAATAGCCAAAGACTATCAGCAGCCCCAAATGTCCATCAACTAATGAATATGTAAACCAAATGTGGTAGTATATCCACATAATGAAATATTTTTCAGCCATAAAAGTACTGACATATACTTCAAGACGGATGAAAACTGAAAATCATTATACTATCTGAAAGAAGCCAGAAACAAAAGGAACCAGTATATGATTCTATTTACATAAAATGTATAGAATCCACAAATCCGTAAATAAAAGAAGATAATTACATGAATGACAAGGGAATAGAGAAGGGGGAAGAGATGTTAACAGTATGGGGTGGGTCCTATGTTTTAATCCATTCTTTATTGCAAAATATCTAAGACTGTAATGTAAACAAACAATAAAGGTTTACTTTGGTTCATGGCTCAGAGGTCTAGTAGCATCGTGCCAGCATCTTCTTGATTTCTGGTGAGGTAGCAGAGGTGAAAGCACACAACTTTTTCTATAGCAAATCCATTCCTAAAATAAAAAAAAAATTAGTCTATTCATGAGAACACAGCCCCACACCTAAATAACTCTTAAGGGACCCACCACACCCAATACTGCCTCATTTAAGAACAAACTTCAATATGAATTTAGGTGCAGACAATCATTCAGAATATAGCATTCTAGAAATGGTTACTGTGATGGCTCACAACCTTTTGAATATTACAGTACTTGAATTATAGCTTTATAACATTAAATGTTAAAAAAGGAAAACTACATGTAAACTTGTATATTTTGATGATTTTTGGCAAATACAATCTACTATATCAAAAGATGAAATAAGCAGTCCGTATCTTGCCTCTATCAGTATAATCATCAGAGGAGACTGCTGCAATCACTTTAGGTATTTTGTTGGCCTTGCTTTCTGCATTTGTAAGCATCCAGTGTGTGTGTGTGTGTGTGTGTGTGTGTGTGTGTGTGTGTGTGTGTGTGTGTGTGTGTGTTTGTATCTCCTAA